TACTACTATTACTATTACTAGTACTAGTACTAGTACTAGTACTAGTACTAGTACTAGTAGTAGTAGTAGTACTACTACTACTACTACTACTACTACTACTACTACGACGACTACTACCCACGGCACGTGTCGTTTGCCCATACACATGCTGTGCTGCTGCTGCTGCTGCTGCTGCTGCTGCTGCTGCTGCTGCCACTCGTCCGTTCTGCTGCTGCCGATGCTCAAAGGACAAAACGCCTGGTCGTACTACTGCGCCGTTCAGAAACACAGGTCCGATGTCCCAGATGCTAGGGTGATTTTGCTCCTCGTCGTATGGTGGTGGTGCTTGTAATGCTCAAACCTAGCTGCTACTTGGATGTTGGTCGTCCTCGTACGGTGGCGCTGCAATGACTTGGTGCTTCTAATGCTGTAATGTCGTAGCTGTTACCTTGATGTTTGTCGTCCTCGTGCGGTGGCGCTGCAATGACTGACGATTCTGCTCCTTTGTCTCCTTGCGCTTGTGATGTTGGAATGCTTTCATGACGACCCCGTTTGAAGTGTCTCTTGCACTCAAGCATGAACATGTACTTGACCTTCGTGCTGGGGCCACAGCAAGCACGCGATGTGCGCACATGGCCTGCGAGCCTGCGGAGCCAAGTTTTGAGTTTCTTGCCTGAGCTCGGTGCTTGGTCTGCAGCGTCAGTGGTGCAACACCAGCCTACACTTGGCAGGCTGGCATTTCAGGGCTCTGCATCTCCTCTTCAACTGTGTTTAATCATTCCCAAACGGCGGGTCTCTGCTGTTGGCAAATGTCATCCCTTACCGAGGGTTACGGGGAAATCGGACGAAGCTGAAAAACATATTGCTGGTAGTTTTCGGAAGGCTCCTGGCAGCAGCTGCTGTGGAAGAGCTCGCGGAGGAGCTTGTGCGGCAATAGCAGCCACAAGCTGCGCAGGCGCAAGAGGCGGAGCCGGCCGACACAGTGCGAGAGACAACGACCGAGCCTGCTGCTGTGCAATAGACACTCTTGGACACGGTCACTGTGCCGGACAGTGTCCTGGAGCTGGGCGGCTTTCTCGACCCAGAACGCCAGAGAGGCGGGAGCAGTAGCCAATAAATTAGTCCGAATCTTCAACATTGGCTCATATGAAGCGGTTCTCAAAGAACAGCGAGAAACAAGCGTTGCAAACATCCGGCCCGCAGAGTTCACGCCGCCTCCACCTTCGCGGCATCGATGGCCCCACTGAGCAAGCACTCGAAATTGAAGCCCGCGCATCATCAGCGGAAGAAGCTGCTGGCACGCAAGAAGCCGCCACCCACTGTCAAGCAAGCTAAGAAACAGGCCACCATGGAGACGAACCGACGCTTCAAGGATGAGTACCAGCTCACTTACAGCGGTCGAGGCCAGGAGACGCCGGCGCAGTCCGTGAAGTTGCGAGATGCAGATATGCCAGTTCACAGCGACATTTGCAATCTCAGCCCGAAGACAGCCAGGGCGATGCTTCAACATCATGGCGTCCTGCGCGGATGGCGTGACAGGCCTACCTGCCACTGCTGGGCGTGCGGCACAGTGATGGAGGCTGCAGATTCAGAGTCCAACAGTTACTGGTGCTCCGCTGGCCGCAGCTGCACTCAGCGATGTGGGCTGACCGATGCGACATTTGCATATACCCCTTTCAGCCGCCAGGTATCTGAGCTCACGAGTTCAATCGCTTTTCAATTATTTCTTGTTGGTTCGGGTGTTGTTTAGTTTATTTTCGAACGTACGGTTCTTCCGGCAGTGGATACAATCCCCACCCTTATGCTACACATTGAACTTGGTCCTTCCTTCATCTTGGAAATAGTGACTATAGTGATTAGTGTAAGCTTGAAGCAGCAGACTCTAGGGATGAGGCTTATCGCCTGCCATGTCCGAGGCTTGAAAAGGCGATAGATGTGAGAAGGTGCGGCAGAGAGGGCGACGGATAAGCACGTGCAGGCCACAAAATTGAGATCCGGACCGCAGTCGTCCTCACAGCTGCTCCTGCGACCGCGGCCTTATCCGCATCTCTGCCGCCTCCGCTGCCGCTGCCGGCCTGCACATGCTTTTCCGTCGCCCTCTCTGCCGCACCTTCTCACATCTATCGCCTGGTCAAGTCTCGGACGGCATGTCAAATTCTTGGACATGACCTCAAGCCCTCCAACACAAAAGCCTTCGTCAGTCCACTGTGCTGAGGCAGCTGCAGGCTACGATCCGGACTTCGTGCTGTTTCTCAAAACGGCGCTTGCAGTGTCGTGCAAGATGAGCCAAGACCAGACTGCACACCTGACGAGAACCAAAGATATGAGCACCAGAGCGGCCTATGAACAGGTCACGCGCTTGATGCAAGCACACAAAGTGGCAATGGCTTGGTCAGAGACGGCACGTACTGCTGCATCGAGCACGCGGTTTGACCGTGAGATCGTCGAGGCGGACTCGGCGAGGTTCAGCAAACGCAAAGAGGTTGACGAGCAAGGCAAGCCAGTTCGAGCTCATAACGGTCGTACTTTGGTGCTCAAGGGAAGACGCACCTAGTCCTGGCTCGCATCCGGTATGGCGCGATTGACTTCACGTGGTGTCAAAGGTGAAGAAGTGCAGGGCTTGCTACAGACAAAACTCGGCACCGGCACTGTCTTCGCACCCGACGGTGCCCAAGCATGGGGCAAGGCCAGCGAGACCAACAAGCGTCCCTTGCTGAAAGGCGTCTCGCACAATCGTGGCATCTTTACACCCATTGCCAAGTTGGACGCCGATGCCATCGATGCGAGCACTGACAGGATGCTGCGTGGTGAGAAAAGCATGGCCGCGCTGCAGGATGGCGAGTGGGCTGTGCCAGCAGGCCACTGGACATGGTCGATTTCTGATCGAACTCGTAGACCCTAACTAAAGCCCTCGAAGCCTTCAGCCCTACTTAAACCACACTACACGTTGGCCGACCAACGCAGGTGACAACTGTGGCTGTTTGAAGAAAACCATGAGGCGACAGCAGACAGCTGGGGGCGGCTCCGGCTCTGATCGTCTGCGAAGAGTCAACGCCCTTCCCGCAGCATTCTTGCGCAGAGATCCCAGTTTCAACCGGCTCTTGGCGTTACAGGCTGGCATTGGAGAGCGGACGGGTGATTTTGTGCTTTTGGCTCTGGCAGGAAGCGGCTGAGTGAGCAAAACAGAGAGTCCCAAGTTCCGTGCATGCTTGCGCCTTCGGATTTTCGGTTTGAGGTTGGCAAATTTGCAACCCCTACAGGCCCTGCGTGCGACTCTGGCACTTCGCCTCGAGAACTTGTTGCTTTAGCACATACGTTGCATAATGGGAAACACTAGAAGGGACGAAGGATTCTACGGGCAGGCCCCCTTCATAGAGATTCGGCGTGGGCAAACCACAAGTGCCGACCGTACTTCTACTACTACTACTACTACTACTGCGAGTACTACTAGTACTACTCGTACTACTAGTGCTACTAGTGCTACTACTACTGCTACTACTACTACTACTACTATTACTACTACTACGCTTGCTACTACTGCTACTACTACTCCTTTGCCTACTACTACTACTACTACTACTACTACTACTACTACTACCATTACTACTACTACGGTTGCTACTACTGCTACTACTACTCCTTTGCCTACTATTACTACTACTACTACTACTACTACTACTACTACCTATACTACTACTACCTATACTACTACTACTACTACTACTATTACTATTACAACAACAACTACTACTACTACTACTACTACTATTACAACTATTACTAATACTACTACTACTACTACTACTACTACTACTACTATTACTACTACTACTACTACTAATAGTATTATTACTATTACTATTACTACTACTACTACTACTACTACTACTACTACTACTACTACTAATATTACTATTACTACTACT